GCAAGGCCCATTAGAGAGCTTCTGTTTCTATCAGGGGACAGGGAGATGGCTTGGTGGGCAAAGGCACTTGCTGTGTGAGCCTTGTGACCTTAGTTTGATCCCCAGAACCCACGAAAAGGTGGAAGAGAGAACCTATTCCACAAGGTGTCTTCTGGCCACACACATGAGCCATGCCTCACAGACAAACAATAGTAAGCACATTTTCATTTCTTTTTTTTTTTTTTCTTTTTTGGTATTTCAAGACAGGGTTTTTCTCTGTGAAAACAGTCCTAGATGTCCTGGAACTCACTTTGTAGATCAGGCTGCCTTCCAGCTCGCAGAGATCCACCTACTTCTTCCTCAGGGTGCTGGGATGTGTGTACCACCACACGCGGTCCGAGTAAGTATAGTTTCTAAAAAATGGTTCTACCCACTATCATCTTTCGATCTGGCTTTCAGGGTTTTGTTCAAGTAAAGGATAGTAGTTTATAAAAGTTTGAAAGCTTCTAGACTGTAGAATACACATATTCCTGCAAGATCTTATATTTTCTGAGCCTCTTGGAGGATCACACTGCATGCCATTATCTCCTCCCTAATTCCTGGTGGTCACATTATCCTCTGTCAAGTGATTTTAGTAACCCTTATTTTCTAGGTCCCAGGGAGCCAGGAAAAGGCACTTTTCTAAAACTTCATATTCTACCTCAAGATAGATCCAGCTATTGGACATGCACCCATAGGACACTCCATCCTACCACAGAGACACTTGCTCAACCATGTCCATTGCTGTCCTTTTCATAACAACTAGAAATTGGAAATAGCTTAGATGCCCAGCAACAGATGAATTGATCAGGAAAATATAGTACATTTACACAAAGAATATTACTTAGCTGTTAAAAAAATTATGAAATTCAAAGGTAAACGGATAGAGCCAGAAAAAAAAATCATCCTGAGTGAGATAACCTAGACCCCAAAAGACAACAACGGCAGGTATTTGCTTATATGTGGATGCTATCTTTTAAGCCTTTGCTACTATCTGAATAACCACAGAGGTTAGGTATAAAGTAAGGAACTACTGGAGAGGGAAGGATTGCCCAAGGAAGGGGAAAGAGAAAATATAGTTAGAGATAAACAGGAGGGATACTGGAATGGGAGGATTAAACTGGAGGGGGAGGGAAGAGGAGAGTAAGGGAGGAAATATGGAGAAGTGCTGGCAGTAAGAGACATTTGAGAGGTCACTCAAAAACCTACTACATGAGACAGCTCTTAAAACATGTATATGTATATGAAATAAATATAAATGAATCACCAAATAATGAGAAAGTCAAAGCCTCAACTAGACCACTTACATCCAAGTGAAACCTCCAATGAGTGTAGGAATGGGATGCATCTAATTGAGTTGTTGTCAAAAGGGCCCCATAAAAACCTCAAAATAACTCAGCCAATTACCAAGGCTATTGGTTGCTCTCTACAAGCTGATGTTTAGGACCCACTGCTGAAGACAACATCTACACAACTCACCGAAAACAGAGAAGTTGAGCTGGTGTCTTCTTGGGCCTTCACTCCCACTGACTAGTGTTCATGGTACAGGAAGGTACTCGGCACACCACCAGAGGAGAAACCTAAACACCAGCCCAGCTTCAAACCCCTTGACCTACAGTGGTGACCTGTCTGCAGGACATGCTGGTATAATAGTGGCACAAACATTGTGGGAACAACCAATGACTATCTGATTGGATTTAAGGCCCACTTCACGAGATGGAACCCATGCCCGACACTGCTTGTGTGGCTAAGGACCTGAGACTAGATAGACCATGGACCTAAAGGAAAACCAAATACTACTGTTCTGCTAGAGGAACATGGCAATAAAATGACTCCTAATGGCATTCTGCTGTACCCATAGGTCGGTGTCTCACTCAGACAGCATCAGAGAAACTCTATTCTCCAGTAGAGGGAAACTAATTCAGCGACCCATAGCTGGACAATGTGCGGAGAATGACAGGCTTTGATACACTTAGTTCTAACTGGGATGTCTCCATCAAATCCCTCCCCTCAGGGCTCAGGAAGCTATGCGGAAAAGGAGGCAAGAAGACTGTGGAAGTCAGAGGGGATGGATGACACCAGGGGACATGCCTTCCAGACACAGCAGGACTGACGCACACATGAACTCACAGAGACTGTGATAGCATGCGCAGGGCCTGCACAGGTCCAAAACAGATGGAGTCCCAGTGCTGCAATGGAGGAGTGGACACAAGCTCCCATCCCCAACTAAGAACTACCTCCAACTGATAACTGCTCCCAAAGGAAAGCTAGTTTCCCCAATGACGTCTCACAGGGACACGAACCACACTCGGAGGCCAGCCCCACGCCCAGCAGTAGTCAGCAAACACAAGTGAACTCAGGGGTACCTTACTGGTCTTCTGCTTATATAGACTTTGATTTCTGATTTTATATTTTTATGGGTTGTTTTTTTTTTTTGTGTGTGTGTGTGTGTGTGTGTGTGTGTGTGTGTGTGTGTCTCACGCTATTTGTTTCTTTCTCTTTTCTTTCTGTTGTTAGTTTGTTCATTTTGTTTTATCCTTGTTTGTTTGTCTTTTTTATTTTTTTCTGTCTGTTTTTTAAAGAGAGACAGAGAGAGAGAGGGACGGCAGGGGGGGAGTTGGAAGGCCAGGGAGGATATGAGGGACAAGAACCCATGTTCAGAACATACTGTATGAAAACAGCTATTTTAAATGGAACATAAAATAAAGAGTATTGCGGTATCGTGGAGTGCCAGCCCCCTTTAACTCCTGAAGCGCAGTCTGCGTCTCTCATCTGATGACTGATCCACTGCTTCCCTAGGCTGAAGGCACTCCGCTGAAGTCTTCCTCACACCCACCTACCCTCCGTCTGATGCCACGAAGAGAGGCTTCTGTCTTTGAGAGGCCTTCTCCCAGTCTCCTACACTATTAGACTCACATATTACTGCCTTGAGAGGAAATGAGTGCTTTCATATCAACCCAGGATCTATCGAAGCATTATTTATGAATAAGATATTGGTTGTCCAGTGAGAACAGACATCCACAAGGTGAGAAGAGTCCCGAGGCCACTGACCCTGGTCCCAGGCAAAAGTGGTACCATGAGGAGGTGAGGTGGGGAGTGGGTCAGTGCTTCTCCCTGTTGTACACTCTTGAGCCTCTTCTAAGAAGGGAAGGGACAGGAATAGAGGGACCTACAGAGGCAGGCAGCCTTGTCTCTCTAATGGTGATACGATGCCGTGAATCAGCAATTTTATATGAAACATGAGTCCTTGAGTGCACATCTTTCAATAACACAGTGATACATGTATTTAGCTATTCAAGAGAGGCTCCATGAGACCTTCTGAATGGATGAACATACAAATACATGCATGAATGTGTGTGTGTGTGTGTGTGTGTGTGTGTGTGTGTGTGTGTGTGTGTAGTATAAACACATGCCACCTACCCTCAGTAAGCAAAGATGCACCCATATTAAGGGAACAAGGATAATTACATGCAAGAACCCAGGATCACACTTGGTCTCTTGCCAGCCCGTTTTACCTGATGCATTTAGACAGGTTCAGAGATGAGTCTTCTTTGTCCCATGAGGCTGATGAGCAAGTCTGTGTAAGTCTGCGTATCTCGTCTCCCAGAGTTCTTCTCGGGCAAGGTTCTCATAGCCTTCACCTCGAAAAAGATAAAGAGAGTCCATGGTGCTGTTGCAGTCTCATAGCAGATAGTTTATCAAAGGCTGAAGGGGACCTCAGGAACCCAGGAAAGCCAGTAAACACTGGAGGGCCTAGAGTTCAAACAGCATGGATGCTGAACATCGTCTGTCACTCGGGGTCGGTGATCCCGCCCTCTTTCCTGGGAGCAAGGTGTATGCAGATATCAGAGAGCCAAGTAGTAAAACCTGCTTATCAGGGGTCACTGGGGTCTGTAGGGCTGGCTCAGGAAAGAGCTTGCTGTGCAAGGGGAGAGGGAGTTGATTATGATCCCAGAGACCCATGTGAAAAGTGAGACATGATGACGTGTGTTTGTAATCCTACCACTAGGATGTGTGACCTGCTAGGTGAGCTCAGAACGGTAGGAGAACCCTCCAAAAAACTAAAATGGATGGCTCCTGAGGAGGACCAACCAAGGCTGTCCTCTGGTCTCTATGCACACATATACAGGCATGTGAGTATACACACCACACACGAATGCACGCGCGCGCGCGCGCACACACACACACACACCACACACACACACCACATGCACTGCACACACACACCATACACATACATACACACACACCACACACATGCACACATATATACATACCATACACACATACACACACATATCACACACAACACATACACACACATACACAGACACCACACACATCATATACACACATATACACACACCACACATACCATCCACACACACACACATATACCACACACACACCACACATATATACACACATCACACATACACACATATACACATACCACACACACATACACATACATACATATACCACCACTGTATACACACACCATACACAACCATACACATACATACACACACATACACCCATATACACATACTACCCACACAACACACACACGCACGCACACACACACACACACACACACACACACACACACACACACACACAGCCTTGGAGTACGCTGTGCCTATGTGTTTCATAGGCCTGACCCTTTCTCAGATAAGATGAATATGAACTGGAGAAAACAACCATTTAATTGATGAAGAACATCTCTTTCACAAATGTCCTGTTTGATATAATCCTGGGTTTACCGCACCAAACCAGCCCAAATAATCTGCTAGGGTCACAGTTTCTGATTTCGCAGGTTCTTCGGTGCCGATGAAAAGGATGTTGTGAAGCGTGAGTCACACAGCCTCTGGCTTTCTAGAAGTGTGCGAAGTCCCTATATAAAGATGGAGCTTCCTGGCTAGGATGCTGCAGCAGGCAGGGAGGGGCCGTTGGTGGTCTCGCCCAGGACAAGGGACATCATGCTTAGCCTTCCTTTGCTGTTGCTCCTCTGGGGCACCAGCTCATATAGCTTCCCCGTGTTTCAAGAAGGACGCCGGCAAGATGCGGAGACTGTCTGGGTAATGGACGCTACATTACACGGGACAGGAATGCGAGCCTTTGCTTTGCGTCCTTCTATTACAGCCTGATGGCATTTATGGGTGGATTTCCTTCTAAGACGAATAGAGTTTATCAGAAATGGAGCCTTCTCAAACACGTATCTAGCCAAGCCTCGTTGGAGGAGAGGGAACCAAGGAAGGAGAGGCAGTTCGCTCTACAATGTGGATTTGCAACAGAGTGCAAATCTCACCTACAATTCTAGTCCCAGCACGAGCTTCCGAATTCTCAGTACTTAGTGGTGGGAGCTCTCTGCTCTGAAACCGAAGGATAAGAAGGGCAGCGAAGCTTAGTCAGAACTTTAAAGTCATTCTCTAGTGTGGCTAAAGCCTCAGAATGTCATTTAAAAAAAAAAGAAGAAGAACCGTTTTTCAGTTAGTGCTCCATAACTTTAAGTATTTACGTATTTTTAATTATGTGTATGAGTGAGTGTATCATGTGTCTGCCCACCTCAGGTAGAGGCCAACAGTGGTCTTTGGATCCCCTCAGCCTGGGTTCTCTGCAGGCAGTAAGTGCTCTTAATTGACTTAGTGGTTCATTAACTTTGTATTTTATCAGAAATACCTGGAAAACTACTACAACTTGGGCAAAGACACAGCAGATAAAACCCTGAGTGGCAAGGACTTGATGGCCGGAAAGCTGAAGCAAATGCAGCAATTATTTGGGCTGAAAGTGACCGGAAAGTCAGATCCTGAAACTCTGAGAGCGATGGGGAAGCCCAGGTGTGGGGTGTCTGATGTGACGCCATACTCCATCACCTACGACAATCCACGCTGGACAAAAACACATCTGACGTACAGGTAACTAGACCGGCATCAGAATCAAAATGAGGTCATTGTTCCCCACTAGAATAGTGGGAAACAAGACCCAGTGTGCCACCATCTTATTTTTTTTCTTAGCATTTTGAACTACACACCATATTTGCCAAGAGCAGTTGTGGAAGAGTCCATCGAGAAAGCCTTCCAAGTCTGGAGTGATGTGACACCACTGACATTCTCCAGGGTCTTTGACGAGGAAGGGGATATCGTGCTGGCTTTCTACAGAGGAGGTAAGTTCTTCAACCTCGCCTTGCCCTTCAATCTCTCCTGCCTTGCAGGGGCGGGGGGGTTGCTTGTCGAAGAGCATTATTGGTTTTATGGGGTCGAGGAGTGAAATAGTATCACATGGGGTGGAAGTCTGTTGGCGACTCAGCAAAGCTCTGAGCTAGCCAACAGGAGAACCAAATGAGCCTTTTATTGAATTTGGTTTCTTGCAGACCACGGTGACAATAACCCTTTTGATGGACCCTTCTATGGCCTTGCTCACGCTTTTCAGCCAGGACCGGGAATTGGGGGTGACGTTCATTTCGATCTTGATGACAGGTGGACCGACACCAGTGAGAGTGAGTCTAAGAGGCCGCTGCTCTCAGTTCAACTGGCCCTTCCTAGTCCTTTGCAGTGTTGGTTGGTTTAATGGACAGAATGCATTGATGGAAGTAGGTAACCCATTACCACTCAGAGAACTAGTAGCACATTGAGAAGCAGGAAACAGGAGTGATTTCTGATCGTATATCATCTTCCTGATGGCAAATAGGTTACTCTAAAACTGCTCTTAAGAAATTCTGAGGGCTGATGAGATGCAGCTCCTGAAATCCTCCATTTGATTCCTGGAACCCATTTGGTAGAGAGGAGAAAACTGAATCCTCTAAGTTGTTCTCTGCCTTCCACACAGGCATCCTCTGTGCACTTTGTGCTTGCACATGCATGCACACACACACACACACACAATCAATCAATCAATCAATCAATGTAAACCACTTTTCTTTTAAAAAGAAAGAAAATGTTGAAAGTTTTAATGTTTTACTTATGGACCTGGACCATTTTTACAAGAAAGACGCAATAAACTTAACAAATTTGGTATTAAACTTGGAAAACTGAATGAGAAAAAACTGTTTTGTGCATTCCAGGTTTTCCAGGAGTAATCATTTATCAGCTTTGTAAATAAGAAAAAGTACAAAATGTTAGTGCTTCATCGCCCCTCTGCAAAGGAACTTGTCCCAGGTCTTTGTTAACACGGACTCATCTGAGATCTCTATTGGACCAATATAATCCTAGAGTGTAGGCTTGCCTGTGCCTCTTTACAGTTAACATATGCATGCTCCCACCTTCAGAAAAAGACTGTATATACATGTGTTTATTTCAAAAAGAGACTGAGAAGGTGTGAACATTCACCCTGGAAGATTGGTTCCTTACTAGATGTCTCAAAACAACATAATTTTTAGTAATTGGAAACTTTTGGCTCTTTGTCCTTCCAGATTTCAACTTGTTCTATGTTACGGCTCATGAGTTGGGCCACTCCCTTGGACTCACTCATTCCTATGATATTGGGGCACTAATGTTCCCCAGCTACACATGGTACACTGAGGACTTTGTACTAAACCAGGATGACATCAATCGCATCCAGGCTTTATACGGTAAGTAAAACAGCCATTAGCTGTTGAAGGCATTTCATTCTTCAGGTGGGCTTCTAGAACCATGGAAACTAACTCCAGGTCCCTTATATTCTTTAGGACCTTCCCAAAATCCCATCCAGCCAACAGGTGCAACAACCCCGAAACCATGTGACCCCGATCTAAGCTTTGATGCTATAACCACATTTCGGGGAGAGGTGATGTTCTTCATAGGCAGGTAATATCTTTATGCTTCACTGGACTCTAAATTCACTGTTGTAGGCCACCAATATGGCTTATCTATTAACTTTACAGTGTTTGTAATTACTTGGTAACAATTAGTTGTGTTTCTTTTCTTATCTTTTTACAACGTATAATGACTGCTTCCAAGTGGTAATTAGGTCAGTTGGTTCAGAAAAATCACCACTGTAGTGAAAACATGTTAATGTAATGTCATTTTATAGATCTGTAAATTAGGAAGGGAAGGAAAGTGAGGACCCTGGGGACACAGAACTCGTGGGTGGCAGAGCAGTTATCAGTCTCCTGGCCCCCTATTCAGAGCTCTTTTCAAGATCTCAATCTGCATGTTGATGAGTGTGATGTTCCTTTACCAGGAAAAGTAGGTCTTTTTATGAACCATTATGTCAATGAGGTCGCTCTTTAACAGCTTTGCTCTGCTCCTGAAGGGTGTCTGTGGCCCCTGAAGCTCAGGAAAGAGAAAGGAAAAAGCCATTGCTGGAAGACTTCTGAGTCCCTCAGCTTCTCCCTCAGGCAGAGAAGGGCAGCCCCCCTCAGAAGAGGGAACTTAAAATCCCCTGTCAGTGTGTGGACCTGAAAACATGCTGCTCCCCTTCCACACAAGGACCAGACTTACCCTCCACACCATGGTGATTTCTAAAGGTCCAGGCAACATAATAGCACACCCAGATGTTCCCCACTGAAAAGTGAATAGAACAGAGGTGCTCTGGAAGGCTGGGTCCCTCCAGTCACTCTTCTCATAGTACACTGGGTGCTGTCTGGTTATGTTACACCCAAACTCAGATATTGACTCCAAATGCTTTCTAGGCTCTTCTTTGCTACTTTTGAGAGTAAAAGATAAGGATGGAACTTGCATGATGTGACTCCATCTGGCTCTGGACTTTTTTTTTCCTGCTTGGAGTCTGTTTAGGTAGTTGACTTCCTTTTGGTTTAATTTTGGTGGTTTGACTGGATCTAGAAATTAATCCATTTGTTTTAGGTCTTTTAGCTTAATGGACCACATTTCTTAAATATTCCATTTTAATATTCTGAATTTATATAGTGTCTACTATAATGTTTTCTGTTCTATTCTGATTCCATTGATTTAGGTCCTCTCTTCCATTTGGTTGGTTGGGCCAAGAGGCTGTCACTCTTGTTTATTGTCTCAAAGAATCATCTCTTAGATTCACTGATTCTTTGTAGTGGTTTCTTTGTTTCTATTTCATTGATTTCTGATCTGATTTTTATTATTTTTTTGCCATCAACTAGATTTGCATTTAGTTTGCTCTTGTTTTTCCAATTTTTTGAGATACACCACTAAGTCCTTTATCTGTGCTCTTCCTGATTTTAATTTTAATGGAGGCACTTTGAGCTACAGGACTACTTTCAATGTGTTGCAGAGGCTTTGTGTTGTGGTTTCATTTTCATTTAGTTCCAGGGGTTTATTTTATGTCTTTCTTGACTTCTTCTTTGACCCATTCATCTTTCAGTAATGAGTTATTCAATCTCCACGAGTTTGTGTATTTGCTACAGATTTGTTTGCTGACAATTTTAAGTTTTATTGCACTGTGGTCAGATAGGATGTGAGGAGTCGTTTAAACATTTTTGAATTGTAGAGATTTGTTTTATGTGGTCTCTTTTAGAACAGCTCCTGCATGTTGCCGAGTGTGGTTTGTATTCTTTGGTCTTTGGATGAAATGTTTTGTAGATAACTGTTAAGCCCATTTGGTATATTATAGAAATTAATTCTGATGTTTCTATGTTTTATTTTTGGTCCAGATAACTTGTCTGGATAAAATAGCATTTTGAAACCATCTACTACTAGTGGATTGATTTTAGTCTGTATCTTTAAATTTATTAGCACATTTTAAAAAAGAAATTGGGGACACCAAAGTTCAGTGCACATATGCTTAGAATTGCAATGTCTTCTTGGTTAGCTGCTCCCTTGATTAGAATAAAGTCTTCTTAGCTGTTCCCTTGATTAGAATAAAGTGTCCCTCTTTATCTCTTCTGATTAGTTTTAGTTTGAAGTCTATTTTGTCAGATATTAGAAGACTCACACCTGCTTGCTTCCTGACCCCATTTGATAGGAGTATTTTGTCCATCCTTTTACTCTAAGAAGATGCTTATCTTTAAAGTTAAGGAGTATTTCTTGTAGACAGCAGATGGACTTTGGTTTTTTGATCCTTTCAATCAGCCCATGTCTTTTGATTCAGAAATTAGGGTCACTGATATTTAAAGTTATTATTGAATTGTGTGTGTTAACTGTAGTCATGTTGTTGATTTTTGTTGTTGTTGTTGTGTTCTCAAAGATACTTACTATGTGTTTTAATAATTATGGCTTCGTATTTTTCCACTGTCTCTCTTCAGTCCTAAATATTGTTTCCTGTATTTTCTTTAGATTTGGCTTGTTGGATAGAAAGTTTTTAGGTTATTAATATTGTTTTCCTTTCTCCTTCAACTATGGTGGATAGTTTTTGTTTGTTTATTTGTTTATTTGTTTGTTTGTTTGTTTGTTTTTTTCGGAGCTGAGGACCGAACCCAGGGCCTTGGGCTTGCTAGGCAAGCACTCTACCACTGAGCTAAATCCCCAACCCTTACGGTGGATAGTTTTACTGGGTGTATTAATTTAGGCTAACGGTCATAGTTTTTTAGAATTGAAATGCATTTCTCCAGGCTCTTCCGGCCTCCAAGGTTTCCACTGAGAAATCTGTATTCTAATGGGTTTTCCTTTATATGTGACTTGTGCTTTTTCTCCTACAACTTTCAGCACACTTTCTTTTATATGTGTACTTAGCATTTCAACTATGCTGTACTTGGGGATTTTCTTTTTCCAGTCTTGCCTGTTTGGTGGTCTGTGTGCTTCTGGTATCTAAATAGGTGTGTTTTTCCTTGGTTTGGGAAAGTTTTCTTCTATGATCTTGTTGAAGATCTGGTCTATGCTGTTGACTTGGGGTTCTTCTCTCTGTCTATGTCTGTAATTCAAAGTTTGTTTTTTTTATGTCTTCCCACGTTTCCTGTGTGTATTTTTTGTAATGTGTCATATTCCTTACTTTTTTGTTCTAGATCTTCTCTTTATTCTTGAGTCCTGATTCCCTGTCGTCAACTTGATTCATCCCAATTATAAGGCTTTCCTTTGCATTTTCTAGTTGAGGTATTGGGTTTTTTCAATTCCATTTTCGTTTCAGCTTGAGTTCTTTTCAATGTTTCTATTACCTTATTGAATTTTTATTCATGTGTTTTAGATTGTCTTTGCCATTTCCAACAACTTTGTGTTTTCTTGGGCATCACTCAGGCATTTATTCTCTTTAAGCTCTTTATCCTTGATTTAATTGAACTGTTTTTTTTTTATCTTCTTTAAACTTTTGTTCTTTGATGAAGTTTATGATTGTTATGATTGTTCTTTTAAATTCTGTGCCTTCTGGTTCATCTAGGAAATTCTCACAGCAAACATTCCCACAGGACTGGTGGGTTTTGAAGAAAAGATAATGGCTTGAGATTTCAATTTCTATTGTTAGTGTATTTTCAATAAGATCTGGGCATCTTTTGATAGTTCTAAATCTGATATGGATAGAGCAGGTTGGGGCAGATAGAGAAGTTTTGTGGGTAGGTTGGGCCAAAGAGGTTAGAAATGGTTTGGGAGGAATGTTCAGAGAACACAGGGCTGACGTACAGGATTTGTCTCCTGGTCCAAGCCTGGAGTATGGGGGTAGATCTGGCTGGGTGGAAAGGTTGGATGTAGTGTGGGTGGGGTCTGTGGATTAGAGGATAGGTAGTTAGGGTCATAGCAAAAGCCTAGAAGTTTGTGCTTCAGGCAGGGGTGGCTAGGCTAGGCTGGGACTCTGGGTGTGGGACCCAGGCTAGATCTGGCAAGTTGGGGAGGGTCAGTGAAACTCACTGGGCTAGATGCTAGGATGTGGAAGATCTGGCTGGGTGGAGAGATTGAATGTGGTGTAGAAGAAGCCTGTAGGTGTTGGACTCATAGATTATATTTTACAAATTATACCCTGTATAAAGGATTTAACCTTCCACAGGTTTAAGTATTCATAGGAGTATCCACGCACCCTCAGATACTCAGGGGTGACACCATCACTAAGTACAGAACATTGCGTTGCAGTTGGTCACATGCTACAGTCAGCGCCTCGTGGCTCACCAAAGCTGACTATTACATTTTGAAGATTTATGCAAATTGGTTGTAAATCACAGTCAATATAAAAATTAAACTGTACTGGAACCAACAATAACAGAAATAAAACATTGTTTTGTCATCATCTTCACTGAAACCTGTTGATAGTACTGAGGCTCCAACCCAGGGCTTCCCGCATGTCAGGCCAGAACGCCACCACTGGTCTGTATCCCCAACCTTATTCTCACAACCTTTTATTCCTTATGTTCCGTTGGTTTATGCCATCTGTGTCTCCAAATGATAGGGATCCCAGGCGATATACTGCCGTCACTTTTAAGATTTGCCACAGCGTGAGTATTTCTGTCAAGAAACAAGCACATCGAACAGAAACCTTCACGTCCGGCCTCTTCTTTGGAGGGGCCGTAGACATTCACTACCGGCAGCTCCAGTGAGGAGTGGGTGGAGACTGCTGGGAGACTGACACCTGTGCTCTCTCTGCCTTTCAAATTAGGTTCTACATCCGTGTAAACAACTTCATGCCACAGCCTGAGCTCAATTTGATAGGTATTATCTGGCCAGATCTGCCAGGTAAACTTGATGCTGCTTATGAAGCTAGTATGATGGATGAAGTGCGCTTTTTCAAAGGTAATGTTTCTGATTGTTTCTCTGTTTGTATAAATTAAACTTTCATTTAGCTTTGGGGTAAGATAAAAGGGAATTAGCTATGTTCACTGCATGTGCTTCTGAAAAATCTAAGTTTCACGAAGTAAAACTTAGGAGCCCATCGTCTTGGTTAAAAGTTACATTGCATATTTAACATCATTTTGATTAAAATGTAAGTGAATAGAGATGTAACTCTTTAGGCTCGCTAAAGAACTTGCAAACAATCACTGTGTTTTAAACTTCCTTCATACCACTGGGATTGCTCAGAGATAAAACTGAGAGACAGGAAGGAGTTCTACAAAGGACGACACAGAATGCTTTTGTGCGTGCAATTTCCTGGACCCCATTTTAATACGAACCATCTCCCGAGAGAGAAGGAAGCTGTCACCAGAGAGGCAGATGAGGCACCGCGTACTTGATTTCTCCTAGCAAAGTGATGATATGTTTCCCTGACTTTGATTTAGAGCCTCTTTTCTTGAGGTCAGGCTATGTGGTGGTGAACATGTTACCACTTTACTGGGAGAAGTCAGTCATGTTCCCAGGACCCTTGTCCTAATGACATCCTGCCTTGAAAAACAAAGTAGACTCTCAAGTCTCACTGTGAAACTTCCTTGAGAGAATCTAAATTTTGCTAAGTTTTCCAGGAAACTCATTCATAGATTAATATATGAGAAAATCAAAGTCACTGTGAATGGAATTCAATGAGTCTATGTGATTCAGTGAGATCAGAGAGTCTAGTGCTTCTGACTTTGAAGACCATGCCAGACACACGTATTTTTTACCAACATGTTTTGGTATAGTACAGCCTTTGAGACACTGAATACAGTAAGAGAATTCAGTTCAGATGGACACCACACTTGGCAATGGCATCTCTAGCCTTTATTATGTAAAATTAAACAGAAGTTTACATATGCAGCGTTTCAAAGCACCATTTTGTGTGAGCTAAAATAAGCATGTTTGTGAACAAGAGTGATCTTGCCTTCAAAAAAGATCATTTCCTGTGATACAGAGCTTAGGCACTGCAAACAAACTCTTGAATCTGCATACATTTACCTATCTACCTTTTAAGATGCTGTTGAACTTTGTTACCACGGAGGTAGCCTAGAACTTCTAGTTGTTTAATATCTGGCTTTGGAAAGGAGCTTCAACTGCAATAGGAAAAAAAAAGATAATTCTCAAAGCTTGTTACAGAATAGAATGGCCTAGAAAAAACCCCATGTAAACCAGGGTTGGCGGCTCACGCCTCTAACCCCAGCATTTAAGAGGGTAAGGCAGGAAGGCGGCTGCAAACTGGAGGCCAAGCCTGGTTACATAGTGAACTCCAGACCAGACTAGCTTACAGTGTGAGACTCTCTCGAAAACACAAAAATCAATCAAACAAACAAAAGACAAACTCATTCAATTGGTTTGAAATTGGATCCCAATATCAGCATTTAACACAAAACAAGACACCACCACCTCCCATTGGGTGGTTGCAGTTTGTAGCTAGGATACTGCTCTAGCCTTTGAAGCTTAGCTGGAAATGTAGACAAGGAGATTCATCTATGGCGTTTGATTGGCAGGCAATAGGATGTGGGCTGTTCGTACAAGGAGTGTGATGAACGGATACCCCGTGGACATCCACAGCTACTTTGGCTTCCCTCACTACGTGACACATATTGATGCTGCTGTCTGTGAGGAAGAGACTGGAAAAACATACTTCTTTGTTGATCACATGTACTGGAGGTAAAGACTAAGATCCAAATAATGTTAGGGTGCCAGTTGTTTGAATAGAGAAAGATTTTAAAATGAGTTCCAAATAGCCTTGGCCAACTGCCTTTGTTTGCGAATGGCTGTCGCCACTGAACATCCATTAGTCCGTGGACTGGCAGGTCTCACATGGTGCTTGTACAAGGAATCCAGTGAGCCTGTGGCACTGTTCCATGCTGTGGAAAGACAGGACAGTGAAAGCATTCAACTTCCTGAGCTTCTTTGACACAAACTTAGCCATTCACACAGCATTTTACCTTAAGAGAACATCTCTGTAGTTCACTGGATTTCAGAGGGACCTTATGCATATTCTGACATCCTCAGCATTCAATTTTTCCTCACCCAATTCACTCTTTTTTAATCTCAAGAATTAAAAATTTGTATGCAATCCATGCTGGTGTGATTCTATAAATATTTTAAGCAATCTGCATGTTTGGTCAAAGGTCCTAATACTTTTAACCACTTTTTGATCAGGTATGATGAATATAGACGGTCCATGGATCCAGGTTATCCCAAATTAATAACAGAGGACTTCCCTGGAATTGGCGATAAAGTTGATGATGTTTTCCAGAAATATGGTAAGAGTATAAACATTTTCTCCATTTGTTAAAATACTAAAAGTAACAGTATTGCTATTTAATGTAAATGTAAAAATGTAAATGAAAATACAAATGTAAAAAATAAATATACTGAAGTCATGCAGTACTCAGCATTGAGTCAAAATCTGGAAACTACATGTATAATTTAATAAATATGTTTCATTTTATTTCTAGGGTATTTCTATTTCTTTCACCAATCAACTCAATACAGATTTGACCTCCAAACGAGAAGTGTTGATGCTCCCCGTGATTCCAACACCTGGTTCAACTGCTGAGAGTCCTGGCAACCTGTTACCAAGTTCATGAAAATACATATCTCATCATCTTAAGGAAGGCGTTTTTCTGAAGTGCCAAGTATTTTTATATTTATTTACCTTCTAGAATTGCTCATATACAGCACTACTGAGTACACTTTTATTTATATTTCATTTTACATATTTTTACAATTTATAGTATAATATTTTATGAGCTAAAACAGTTTAGTGCCTCAATTGACAACCCAAGAAGGTCAAGTTCATGGCTGATAAGTCACTGAAGGAGGCTATTTGTCCAGTGAGTGACTCTGACAGACATTGATCCTAGGCCTCTCCTTCCAAGAGAGGAGGGTCACTAGACAAGCTCTCCTCAGAGGAAGTGACTCTTGGACACACGAACAGATATACATGAGGAAAGTCGGTTGATACTTTGGGTTTGGTTTTTAAAACAGATCTTACAGCCCAGGCTGGCGCTGGACTCACCTCTTCCACTGCTGACTTCCAAATGCTGGGATTACAGGCATGCCCATCACGCCCAGCTAAGAGATGGTTCTTGAACAAAATAAAGATTTGATACTTAAAGCCACTTTTGTCTCTAATGCTTTATAAGTTTTCTATTTCATTATATTTTTATTACCTGATTGTAAAGCCTCACTTATAAATACTGTTTTTCTCAAATTTGAAATGGAAAACAAGCAATATGAAAAATGCTCATGAGAAAATTAGTCTATTCAAATTTTTCAAATTTCTACATTTTTGTGGAGTTTGTCTTCAGCAGGATATGCCTCAAAAGCAAGGTATCATGGCACCTAGCCCTTAGCAATTATCATCATATGCCAAGGCAGAGTGGGTATTTAACACTGGACTATGAAGTATGTGGCAGGGCTACAAGGCTGGACAAGGAAGAAGTCGTTGAAGTGGGTTCCTATAACTTGGAACTTGGTATTCCAGAAAGGAACTCAGGAGTTTTTCCAGTGTGCTGTTTACCTGGTACCTCACATTGTGCACACAACAATGTTCCATAGTGTATGACAGAAAGCTCAAAACTTCTGTCTCACAGTGTGGAGTTAGCAGCCAGAAGGATCGGGGAGACGGGAACTTCCATGGATTATTACATGGAAATGAAGCCCGCCCCCCCCCCTCCCCGCACTAGACGCTGGTCCTTAGGAAGGCCCTGAGAGCAATTTTCCCTAAGACTATAAGGTATATATTAGAAAAGGGACATATTGGAGTCTGAGACACTTACAAGTGTGGGTGCATGTACACATGCCTATGAAGGTCATCCAGTATCTTAGTGTTTCTACTGCTGTGAAGAGACACCATGACCACAGTAACTCTTATAAAGCAAAACATTTAATTGGGGCTTGCTTACACTTTCAGAGATTTAGCCCATTATCATCATGGCAGGACACGGCAGCATGCAGGTAGCTAGGGTGCTGGAGAAGGAGCTGAGAGTCCTACATCTTAATCTGTAGGCAGCAGAAGGAAACTATGTCACATTGGCCACACTTGAGTTTATAAGCCCTCAAAACCTGCCTCCAGAGTGACACTTTCTTCAATAAGGCCACGCCTACTCCAACAAGTCCACACCTCCTAATAGCGCCACTCCCTATAAGCTGAGCATTCACACACACGAGTCCATGGGGTCGTACTGTTCAGACTACCACAGACAGAAGCCTCAGCTCTCATTCTTATGTGCCATCCACCTTTCTTCCTCTTTTTCTTTCTCTTCTTTTTTCTTTCTTTCTTTTTTTCCTTTCTTTCTTGAGACAGAATCTCTGAATGGCCTGGAACTCACTCAGACTCACTGTCTGAGCAGGCTGGCCAGTGAAGCCCAGAGATTGCCCACCACCTCCCCATACTGGAATTATAATCTCCCCCCACCCTTTTTTTACATTGCAACTGAAGTTTGCAAGCACTTAAATTGAGCTATCTCCTCAGCTCCCTAGTTACTATTTTGATCAACATGTAAATTGTGGTTAGCATATATAGGAGCTCTGTTCTAAGGATTACACCTTTCCTTAATGAACCATGTATGCCTGCTGGCTTGACTGTGTAAATGCTCAGTAAATTCAATAGGTGGTAATTTACTTAAGAACAAACAGGACTCCATAGCCCCAAGTCACTAATCTCCGCCAGGTGTGGAGGCTTAGAGTAAGTTTAGTCATCAAAATCACCCCTGGGAGGCAAGTCCGTCCTTTCATGGTTAATCAACTACAGTCACAACCATAGCCCTCGGGGTACACAAGAACCATCAGCAGGGTGTGCCAACACCAACAAAGGTGTGACTCAAAGGAACACAAGGCATCTCAGAACTTGTCAAGTCAGCACCTCGGGGCACAGTTAGGAAGCTGCCCAGCCAACAAGCTCCATCTGTTAAAGACACTAGACTATAATGAAAAGGGGCTTGTTCCCAGCATGGAGTACGCATAAAAACTAATACCTTGAGTGATGTTATCCACACCACAGGAAAAGTAATTGTATGGTGATATCATGTACTTGCTCAAGTTGAACTGACTTTGTCTGAGTCTACTGGTGGTCAGCATTGCCTCTGATTTTCAGGTTGGTTTATTCTGTGTAGTACCTACGCAAAGTCACAAGCTGACTTGGCTGGCCGAGGGCATGCACCTCCCCCTCCAAGCTGTGGCTGAGAGGTCTCAGAGCCTCCTGGTTAAGGTTTCTGTTGCCATGCCTCCCTCTGGTAGGGAGGCAGATGCTACTGAAAAGGTCACTCCTATATTTACTTGTTTCTATCCCACTAATTTGAAATTTCATACTTCAGATATGGTAGGATTACTTTCCTTTCACTGAGAGGAAAATGTATTTAAAATGTTTTGGCATCCTCTGACCTCTATATTAAGAAGCAAGCTTGTGGGGCTGGAGAGACGGCTCTGCAGCTGAGAGCACTTGCTGCTCCTCCAGAGGACCTGTTCAAGCTCCTAGCACCCACATGGCAGCTCACAACCACCTGTAACTCCACTCCAAGGAATCTGACCCTTACTTTCAGCCTCTGACACCACCTGCACACTCGTGACACACACGGAGAAACATGTACTCATATGCATAAATAAAAACAAATATTTCTTTAAAAAGAGCTAATTTGGGCTTAACAGAACTACTGCAGACTTTCCGTGTTTGAAGAGCACTCAGCTTGGCCAAGAGAGGAAGTGAAAATGCTTTTAATGGGTAATGTTACATGAAGAGAAAGGACTGGAGATTCCATTGTAAACCTCAATCATCTGTACTTTGGAAGAAGGGAAAGGATAAAAATTGGAAAGCAAAGATAAGGAAGGAGGTCAGGGGAGTATCTTCATCTAAGGTGCAGTTGTCCCCCCTCCATTTGACAAGTCTCTGTGGAGCCAGTACATGAGGACCTCAGTCATGAGACGGAGACTGGGCAGACACCTGAGCTTCACCTCTGGACCTTGCCTCCTCCATGTTGGTGGCCTTCTCACAGTACTCCCCACACCCCCAAGGGCCAGTAAATCCATCTGAAAATCAGTAATACCTGTTACACAGACTCAAAAAATAGAGTTTCTGTCATTATGTCTTCCTAGATCGCCATCCTCATAGTTACATTTGGAATCTTTTTCCATTAATCTGTTTACTCCTTGCCTGCATGTATTTGAGCCTAATGCATGTTTTAAAAAAAAGTTTTCAAAATATCTCAATATTCTACTGAAAGGACCAAGCAGATGCCATAACAGGCTGCTCAGTCTTCTCTCAGAGATCAGGCCTCAATTTCAGTTTCCTAAGACTTGAGCAATCAGTTTCTGGGAGGGCCATGAACAAAAGACTACTCAAAGTTCAGCCAGATGTTTACTTTCTGGGGCCCCTCACCAACTTAGAGTTATGTGCAGTACGTGCTTGACCAGCCAGTCCCCATGGTGGCTCAAGGACAAAGCCTGGGACTTGTGCTGGACTGCCCCCAAAGTAATAAATTGTAACCACCAACCAGTAAATTCAAAGGTTACATACCCTCACCCAATTAAAAGAGAACAGAGATAAAAATAAACCAATCCGAGTTGCACCCGAGCAAAACTCCCCCAACCCCCCTGAAGGGCTTGTGGATTTTGCCTTTAAAAAGCCAGCCACACAAAGAAAAACCAAGTTCCTCCTGGCCTCACGACTACCAGTGAGTGCTTTGGATCGAGCTTCCCTGTCCGCGGCTTGTAAACAAACAGAAATAAACCATGCTAATTGCATTCTGAACCTAAGGTCTGTGGTGGTTTGTCTTTGGGGTCCCAATCTGGGCATAACACTACAAACATTAATTCTCCTTGTGAGACCCTCACTCTATTCTCTAAGACGAAGAAGGAGACTTAGACAAAGATATCTTAATATAGATAGACCCAGGCCAGTTTCAAGCTCCCAGAAATGATGGTGCCAGTCCCAGGAATTCAAAAGTACAAAGTCAGGAAGAGCCATCTGATAGCAACTAATTAACAGAAGAGTGCCCCAAATGCCTGACAAAAGCCAGGCCATTTGGTGGTGACTGATTAACCACGGGATGTCCCAACGCCTGAGATGGCACGTCTCAACTCCGGAGACGGGCTGTAAAAAGTTCTGACACAGCAAACGGACAAACTAAAATAAGATAACATGGAGGCCTGGGAAGATTTAGCCAATTAGAATTGTACTTGTACTAACTCCCCCACAACCTGGAGGGACTCGTGGTTTTGCCTTTAAAAAGTCAGCCTCACAAAGGAAGAGCAACTCCTCCCTGCCTCGCTGCGACCAGTGAGTGCTTGGGGACCAATTCCCTGCTGGCTTGTATTGCTTACAATAAACCTTGCTGTTGCATTCTGGATATCCTTGGTCTTTGGTGGTCTCTCTGGGGGTGATCTGGGCATAACACTCCAGTCAGTTCCTTTTCCTCTTTATAAACACAGAAGCCACTTCCTTGAGATTAAGCATTCTTTCAAGTTTAGTAGGTTGAGGGATTCACTGATGTAAGCTACTCTGTCTTCATGCTGAGTTTTGTGAATGAGCTTGCACACGTGAGTCATGCTGTTAGTGAC